TGGGGACTTACCCTCCCCGGGATGGCTGGGGAGCTCTTCACCAAGCTGACGTAAGACGCCCTGGTTTTAGGCAGGAGTTGGTACAAGCTGGCTGCAGAGATGCCATTTCAAATCTCATAACTTGACCATCAATAACATTATGGCAATAACAAGGAGTCCTGTGGCACCCACCTCAGCCTGGTCTACCCCAGGGAGTTATTTCGAAATAACTAGCGGAGCATCCACACTATCGAGCCCGCTATTTGGAAATAACAACTCCTGCTTTCCCCGGGGAATAGCGCTTATTTCGAAATAGCCGGGGTGTGGACACGCCACTGCTGCTGTTTCGAAATAACTTCTCCCTAGCGTCATTCAGAGTACTTACTCCCCAGTTCTGCCTGGGGCCCTAAGGTGAGGTCGTGCGTCCACAGCAAGGCAGTCTGCCTCAGACTGATTTCAAGGCTTCTCCGTAGTGTGGACACACTATTTTGAAATAGTTATTTTGGGAGTTATTATTTTGAAATAATTTCCTAGTGTAGACATGCCCTTAAAGACAAAGGGTACGTCTACACAGCAGTGTTATTTTGGAGTAACTGATGTTATTCCGAAATAACATCGCTCGTGTCTATTCTACAAGCCGTTATTTCATCATAATGGCTAAATAATAGCAAGCTGGAGGACTTCTTATTTCGACTCCTGTAACCCTCATTTTACAAGGAGTAAGGAAAGTTGAAAGAAGAGTGTTCTTCCTTCTACTTCCTACTGGGTAGACAGCACCAAAAGTCAAATTAAGCTAGAATCATAGAATCATAGAATACTAGGACTGGAAGGGACCTTGAAAGATCATCGAGTCCAGTCCCCTGCCCTCATGGCAGGACCAAATACTGTCTAGACCATCCCTGACAGATGTCTATCTAACCCGCTTTAAAATATCTTCAGAGATGGGGATTCCACAACCTCCCTGGGCAATTTATTCCAGTGTTTGACCACCCTGACAGGTAGGAAGTTTTTCCTAATGTCCAGCCTAAGCCTCCCTTGCTAAAGTTTAAGCCCATTGCCTCTTGTCCCATCCTCAGAGGCCAAGGAGAACAATTTTTCTCCCTCCTCCTTGTGACACCCTTTTAGATACTTGAAAACTGCTCTCATGTCCCCCCTCAATCTTCTCCTTTCCAAACTAAACAAGCGCAGTTCTTTCAGTCTTCCCTCATAGGTCATGTTCTCTAGACCTTTCATCATTCTTGTTGCTCTTCTCTGGACCTTCTCCAGTTTCTCCACATCTTTCATGAAATGTGGTGCCCAGAACTGGACACAATACTCCAACTGGGGCCTAGTCAGCGCAGAGTAGAGCGGAAGAATGACTTCTCGTGTCTTGCTCACAACACACCTGTTAATGCAGCCCAGAAACATGTTCGAATCATCCCAGATGATTCATCCCAGAATCTTGCCAGCTATTTCAACTTCACCTATGCAATAGACGTAGCTAAAGTTGCGTAGCTTCTTTCAGCTTTAGCCCTGCTGTGTAGACATGCCCAAACAGATTGATTAGGGCATGAGCTTCTGTGGGTAAACCCACTTTATCAGATGAGTTGGAGAGGAAGTTACAGAGGCAGGAACAGCAAAAGAAAGAAGTTACTTGTGTTAATGAGGCTAATCACGTCAGGGTGGAAGTGGTTCATTCACAGCCTCCCTGTGTAACCAGGATGGCTACTTTCAAATCCCTTCCTGAATGTCTAGGGAGGTTTTCTGGGCACGGACGCCTTGTGCGTAAAGTTGTAAACACAGGCAGAACTTGTGACTGAAGCAAGTTGCTCAGATAAATCTGAGGAGCGGCTAAGTCGGACTCTCAAAGTGCAACCTGTGCCTCGGGCAGGGCCAGCCGGGTACGGAGGGGGACAGGGACAAAATCTACATTGTAGCAAAGAAGTAGCAGGAAGTTTCCTTTGTTCACCAGCCTGCCCCTCGCCTTGCTCTCAGCTGGAAGTCTCCTCCAAGGGGACAGGACTATACAAAGAAGGGGGCAGACACCAGGACACCCCTCATCTCTCTCCCTGTATGCTTTGCATCACACCTAAACCACAAAGTAAAACAGCCATTGGACTCTGGGGGAGTCCTGCCCTGCGAATTGGGACAGGGTCTGCTGGTACATAGGAGACCTCTGTGGAGATCTGACAGTGTTTGTGGTCAGGCACTAGGACGAGTTTTAGCTTTATCCCTCTTGTAACCATTTCTGACTTTTATGCCTCATTACTTGGACTCGCCTACAATCCCTTGGCCGTTAATCCCTTTGTTTTACTATTTATCTAATCCGGCATGTTTCAGTGCAAACGGCTGGACCACTAGCTAAGATAAGACCCTGGCCTATTATTCCTGTAAAGGGAAACAGGCTTCACCTATTTGCACCTCCCAGGAGGGGGCTGGACACACACTGCTAGGGGGAGAACGGTATAGGAGGGCAGGGACAGGGTCCAGAGTGACCTGGACACATTGGAGGGTTGGGCCAAAAGAAATCTGATGAGGTTCAACAAGGACAAGTGCGGAGTCCTGCCCTTGGGAGGAAGAATCCCAAACATTGGTACAGGCTGGGGACCGCCTGGGAGTTACAGTGGATGAGAAGCTGGAGATGAGTCAACAGAGGGCCCTTGTAGCCAAGAGGGCTAATGGCATATTGGGGTGCATTAGGGGGAGCATTGCCAGCAAATCGAGGGAAGTGATGATTATTTGGCACTGGTGAGGTCACATTGGGAGTACTGTGTCCAGTTCTGGGGCCCCCATTAAAGAAAGGATGTGGACCCAATGGAGGAAGTCTAGTGGAGGGCAACAAAAATGATTGGGGGGCTGGAGCACATGACCTATGAGAAGAGGTTGAGGGATTTGGGCTTTAGTCTGTAGAAGAGAAGAGTGAGGGGGCATTTGGTAACACCTTTTGACTACCTGAAAGGGTTCCCAAAGAGGATGGAGAGAGTCTGTTTTCAGTGGTGACAGATGACGGAACGGGGAGCAATGGTCTCAATTTGCAGTGGGAGAGGCCTAGGTTGGCTATTAGGAAAAACTATTTCAATAGAAGGGGGCGGGAGGAGAAGAAGGTGAAGCACTGGAATGGGTTACCGAGGGAGGTGGTGGAATCTCCATTAACAAACCAGAGCTGGGATGATGAGTTGGGCTGGTCCTGCCTTGGGCAGGGGCTGGACTGGATGGCTCCTGAGGTCTCTGCCAGTCCTTGGGCTCTAGGATTCTATGACAGACACCCCCCACCAGGGCTGGTGACAGATTCTGCTGGGCCCTGGGCACGGTGTGTGGGGATCAGCCCCAGCTGAAGCATTTTAAACCCTTCACTCCTGCTCAGCGATGAGCCGGGCTGCCAAGTGCCCCTTGGCTTTACAGAGACAAAAAGTTGCTTTGTACAAAGTTTGAGGCGCTGAATTTCCAGTAACTTCGGATGCCCTGGCCTCTGGGGGATGGTGAGTTAATGCGGCTCCATCTGAACGATGCGGATATGGTCATGTCACTGCTTCCTTTCACATTACAGACCTGGCCAAAGTCCTCTGATAAAAGAAAAGGAATCAAAGAATCGTATTTGGACAGTCTTGCTCCAGGCCTATTGCAAGAGTTCTAGGGAACAGGCTGTCCACGTGTCTAAAGGAAGGAAGGTCATTTTCCCCCCAAGACTGCATATAAAATATACTCTAGTCAGGCCAGACGACAGCTTCGCTGGCCCCTGGACAAGGTGGGGAGGAGGCGCCGTGCTCCTTGGGCTGAAGGAGCGGGGCAGTTTCTGAGTTTTACAACACTAGTGGGAGTCTTGCCGTATATCTGAGTGAGGTTCCCCATAAGGCTTGTGCCTGGTGTTTCCTTGGCAGAACTACCACGGCAGGGTAAGGGACTGAGGAGAGTATTAAGTGGATGGGAGGAAAGGAAAGTTGGACTGAGCGCTGCGTGGGGTGGGAGGGCCATGGAGAAAGGTAGGTTAGTGTTTTCCCAGTACCCTGCCCTTTGCAGCACAGCCTGCAGCCTTATCTCTGCTAGAATGACACCAACAGAGCGGCTTGAGAACCGGGAGGTGAAAGAGTGCGACATGTTTTTCAGATGGGTTCTCCCTCTCTTCCCACAGACATGGCAAATGTGAAACAACACGACAGTCAATGAGCTTCTGCTCGTCAACCAAGCCATGGAGGGGAAGCTCCAAAATCACGGCCGATCTTTTCCCTGGTTTTTGGTTTTGTTTTGTTCACAGACATTGGAAAACTCAGAACCTGGCGCTGGTCTCCAGACACTCACTGAGATTTTAGCTGGAAAAACCCCAACCTTGGCTTGCTGCTCCCAGGCATTTGCAGGCCTGGCTCTGGATTTGCAGTCGGTGTGTGTCTGAGAAGCGGGATGTTCTCCAGGGGGAGGGGCTTGTAGCCTGGAAGGGACGGAGAGCACGTTCGCAGACCTCTGAGTGCATTTGGATGCAGTGACATTTGGCTGATAGAGAGGTAAGCCGAGGCCAGGGGGGAGGGGCTGCATGTTCATGTTGCCTGGTGATTTCCTCATTGTTTAGTGTCTGAGATGAAAAAGCACAAAGAGCTTAAAATTCTGAGTTAACAGCGCTCCTAGGCGGGCAAGTGCCTTCATTCTCAATCCTGCTAGAGCAGTGGTGACATTAGCTGGGGCTGGGTGGGGGGACGGGCACAGGGACGTGGGCATGCATGGGGAGCAGGGAGCGAAGGGCCACGAGTTCTGGGGAAATAAGGGGTGCAGAGGACTGTGGGTGAGGGAGGCAGAGCTGTGGATGGGGTGGGTTAGTGGCACAGTTTCATTCTAGCGCCGACATGGGAGAGGGACAGGGCCCATTTGCATGGGGCAGTGGAGTGTCGAGAGAAGACGCTTCCGAGTTTGGATGCTACTTTCCCAGTGAGAGGAGAGGACCTCCGTCCCTGAGCAATCGTGCCTGCTTAGTGTTTGGCTGCAGGCCAGGCCCCGGGGCTCCCCGACGTATTCCTGGCTGTGACTGGGGGGTGCTTGCTTCCACTGTCTCACGGCTACAGATCCTTTTTCTTTTGTTTGCTCATTGGCTTCTGGGTGGGTTTTGGCCTTCTGCTCCTTGGCAAGTGCGTCACGCCTCCCCCTCCGAGCCTGAGCCAAGGAAGCATTTGAGACGAGGCGCGGGGCGAGGAGCTCACGGAGCGCCCCGGCCGCGCTCCCCTGGACGGGGGCGAGGAGCTCACGGAGCGCCCCGGCCGCGCTCCCCTGGACGGGGGCGAGGAGCTCACGGAGCGCCCCGGCCGCGCTCCCCTGGACGGGGGCGAGGAGCTCACGGAGCGCCCCGGCCGCGCTCCCCTGGACGGGGGCGAGGAGCTCACGGAGCGCCCCGGCCGCGCTCCCCTGGACGGGGGCGAGGAGCTCACGGAGCGCCCCGGCCGCGCTCCCCTGGACGGGGGCGAGGAGCTCACGGAGCGCCCCGGCCGCGCTCCCCTGGACGGGGGCGAGGAGCTCACGGAGCGCCCCGGCCGCGCTCCCCTGGACGGGGGCGAGGAGCTCACGGAGCGCCCCGGCCGCGCTCCCCTGGACGGGGGCGAGGAGCTCACGGAGCGCCCCGGCCGCGCTCCCCTGGACGGGGGCGAGGAGCTCACGGAGCGCCCCGGCCGCGCTCCCCTGGACGGGGGCGAGGAGCTCACGGAGCGCCCCGGCCGCGCTCCCCTGGACGGGGGCGAGGAGCTCACGGAGCGCCCCGGCCGCGCTCCCCTGGACGGGGGCGAGGAGCTCACGGAGCGCCCCGGCCGCGCTCCCCTGGACGGGGGCGAGGAGCTCACGGAGCGCCCCGGCCGCGCTCCCCTGGACGGGGGCGAGGAGCTCACGGAGCGCCCCGGCCGCGCTCCCCTGGACGGGGGCGAGGAGCTCACGGAGCGCCCCGGCCGCGCTCCCCTGGACGGGGGCGAGGAGCTCACGGAGCGCCCCGGCCGCGCTCCCCTGGACGGGGGCGAGGAGCTCACGGAGCGCCCCGGCCGCGCTCCCCTGGACGGGGGCGAGGAGCTCACGGAGCGCCCCGGCCGCGCTCCCCTGGACGGGGGCGAGGAGCTCACGGAGCGCCCCGGCCGCGCTCCCCTGGACGGGGGCGAGGAGCTCACGGAGCGCCCCGGCCGCGCTCCCCTGGACGGGGGCGAGGAGCTCACGGAGCGCCCCGGCCGCGCTCCCCTGGACGGGGGCGAGGAGCTCACGGAGCGCCCCGGCCGCGCTCCCCTGGACGGGGGCGAGGAGCTCACGGAGCGCCCCGGCCGCGCTCCCCTGGACGGGGGCGAGGAGCTCACGGAGCGCCCCGGCCGCGCTCCCCTGGACGGGGGCGAGGAGCTCACGGAGCGCCCCGGCCGCGCTCCCCTGGACGGGGGCGAGGAGCTCACGGAGCGCCCCGGCCGCGCTCCCCTGGACGGGGGCGAGGAGCTCACGGAGCGCCCCGGCCGCGCTCCCCTGGACGGGGGCGAGGAGCTCACGGAGCGCCCCGGCCGCGCTCCCCTGGACGGGGGCGAGGAGCTCACGGAGCGCCCCGGCCGCGCTCCCCTGGACGGGGGCGAGGAGCTCACGGAGCGCCCCGGCCGCGCTCCCCTGGACGGGGGCGAGGGGCTCAGGCAGGCCCCGGCCGCGCTCCCCTGGACGGGGGCGAGGAGCTCACGGAGCGCCCCGGCCGCGCTCCCCTGGACGGGGGCGAGGAGCTCACGGAGCGCCCCGGCCGCGCTCCCCTGGACGGGGGCGAGGAGCTCACGGAGCGCCCCGGCCGCGCTCCCCTGGACGGGGGCGAGGAGCTCACGGAGCGCCCCAGACACACCTGGGCTGCAGCCAGGCTTCGTTTGCAAGACGATCCCAGAGCACTTTTGGCCACTTGTAAAGCAACACACAACTCAGACACTCGTCAGTCCGCCCATGCACACTCAGCGCTGTGAAATCTAAACCAGAACCAATAGGGGTGGGAAGGTCAACAGCTCTCCACAAAGGCTGGTCCAAAATGTTCTACTGAAAGTGTTTTTCCATGAAAATAATGGGCTTTCAATTAAGCACATTTTTTCTCTGCACCAAGTGTTCACTTTCTGTGGACAATCGAACACCGAAAGCCAGAAGATGTCAGACAAAATCTGAAACTTTTCAGTTTGGAAATGTGGTTTGAGATTATACCACGCCCACCTGGCCAATGCAGTGTCGCATGAGATTTGTAGTACAGGTTGCCTGATGTCCCCATTCCCGTCCATGGGATTCCTTGATTGGGCTACATCTTCCACCATGCAGCACAAGCATGTGGCTTCTATGAGTCACTGTGACAGGTCAGCAAGAGAAAGGCCATGATGCATCATGGGAGATGTAGTTTGGCCTGCAAGTCAAGAGCCAAGAAGAAACGAGGGTCTGATTCTGAAAATGACACATCCCATGAGGCACTGTTGCAGTGAAGGCAACCCCAGATCCATGTTGAAATGACCTAAAATGTTTCAATTTGATTTTGATTTTCCTGGTGGAAACTTTCAGTTTTCAGCCCAAAGTTTTTGGTTTCCACTAAAGAGCTGAAATTTCTGTGAAAAATTTCAAAACAAAAATCTTTTTTCCATTTTCATTAGGGTTGCCAGGTGTCCGGTATTCACCTGGACAGTCGGGTATTTTCGCCTCCTGTCCAGTAAAAAAATTCAGAGAATACCAGGCACCTCAGATGTCGGGTATTCTCTGAATTTTTCCCTGCAGGAGGCAAAAATGCCGGGCACTTGGCAACCCTACAAACACTCAGCGCCCGGCCTGTCTCTCCCCCTCCCTCCCGAGCTCCCCCCAGGTGTCCAATATTCACCCAGACAGTCCTGTACTTTCGCCTCCTGTCCAGTAAAAAAAAATTCAGAGAATACTGGACACCTGAGATGTCCGGTATTTTCTGAATTTTTCCCCGGCCAGGAGGCGAAAATTCTGGGCACCTGGCAACCCTACAAACACTCAGCGCCTGGCCTCTCCCACTCCCACCCCAGCCCCCATGCTTACCTGGTTCCTCAAGGCTGCCGGCACAAAATGGCTGCCAGCCAAAAGAGCTAGGGGAATGCTTCCCCGGGCTCTAGTGCTCAACCGCTCCCCTGTTCCTATCCCTGCACTCACTCTTAAAGGGGACATGCTGTTTTATTTTATTTTTTTTTGGCTTAATAAGCCCCCCCCTTTTTTTTTTTGGCTCAACAACTTTGGTCTCCCCACCTTTTTTCCCCCTTCAACAGAATTTTTTCCTGGTGTTTTTTTTGGGTGGTGTTTGGTATTTTTGTTTCAAACATCTGGCAACCCTAATTTTCATTCAATTTTTCTTCTACAATCTGCTCCCCCATTTTCTGACCATCTTTATACTCAGTGTTGGCCTAACTACTTCCATTGAACCAATCATAGAACTTCCCCGGAGCCCGAGGGGAGCAAAGTTAGTATGTACCAATGCCTTTTGGAAATTCCTGTCTGAACAGTCTGTGACTAGCCAGCTCTTCACAGGGACAGATTCAGACACAGTAACTTTGGGGGCATGAATAGATGTGGATTTGGAAAATCAGGCATTTGAAGGGTGCCACTAGGAATGAGAAAATGTCACATGGGTTTCTCACCAATCATCTGAAATTTACTTCCTTTCTGGCGAGAACCACCATTCCAATTAATTTCCTAGCTTGTGCTGAAGATCAAACCCCTAAATCAAACCAAAAGGGCCTTTCTTGGAATTCATATTGGATGTCCTTGCAACCTGCTGGAGCATAGCAAAAATCAGAGAGACTGGAGATGTGTCTATAGAGCAAAAGATTAGATTTGACATGCTAGGATTTATAATGCAATTTGTTTTTAAAATGATTGATTGGTCATGCCTTAATTTAGACACTTGCCTTGATCAATTGGGATGGCATGCCTTGAACCACTTGGAGTTTATGTTCACCTTTAACACCATTCACGAACTGCCTCTCATTAGATATGGATTGCTAATCAGAGCTTCTCCCAACAGGAGTGGAACTGGTCCAGTGGTGTGTAAACAGCAGCACATGGGAACAGAAAGAGAAGCTGTTTATTCCCTTGTTTTGAGATTATTAAAATCCATGATCACATCAGACCATCCCTCGCAATTAGAAGCTGTTCCATACTGTTATGCCTCCCAAACTCCAAAAGGCTAATTATGCCTTCAGTTAATTACAGGGACTTTAATTAGTTATGACTATCAAGGAGAAGAAAAGAGTCACGCTGTGGCAAAGGGTGCTTGCGCCGTCGAGAGATGGAGAGGCCAGGCAGTAACTGCCTGTCGGGCATGTGGCCCATTCACAGAGCCTGGGCCATGCTAGGGACTCTTGCATGACTGGCACACGGAGCCGAACGGGCAGGAGCGAGCCTTGCCTCGAGCGCAGTCCCATCTGCGTGCGAACACGCAGAACCCTTCGGGCATGTCTGCGCTGCGACCGGGCGTGGGCCTGCAGCCCGTGTGGGTACCACGACACCCACCCAGGAATGGGACACCGCGGCTGCAGTGAGGCAGTCCCTGGCACAGGCTAGGCATGTGAGCACAGACTAGGGTCAGGGCAGGAGGGTACAGCCCATCCTGGAGGCCTGGCCGTCCAGGCTTCATTGCCATTGTTGGCAAGGCTCACTGGATCTGTGCCAGCCCAGGCATGTCTACACGGGCTGCAATTGCACCTTCAGCTGCAGGGAAGAGGTACGCAAAGGCACCAGGGCATCGCGTGGGATACCCCCTTCTCCAGCCTGACCCTGACCCCTCCCTGCCTGTCCCGTGTGCTGCAGGACAGAGGTACCCAAAGGCACCAGGGCATCGCGCGGGATACCCCCTTCTCCAGCCCGACCCTGATACCTCCCTGCCTGTCCCGTGTGCTGCAGGACAGAGGTACCCAAAGGCACCAGGGCATCGCGCGGGATACCCCCTTCTCCAGCCCGACCCTGATACCTCCCTGCCTGTCCCGTGTGCTGCAGGACAGAGGTACCCAAAGGCACCAGGGCATCGCGCGGGATACCCCCTTCTCCAGCCCGACCCTGATACCTCCCTGCCTGTCCCGTGTGCTGCAGGACAGAGGTACCCAAAGGCACCAGGGCATCGCGCGGGATACCCCCTTCTCCAGCCCGACCCTGATACCTCCCTGCCTGTCCCGTGTGCTGCAGGACAGAGGTACCCAAAGGCACCAGGGCATCGCGCGGGATACCCCCTTCTCCAGCCCGACCCTGATACCTCCCTGCCTGTCCCGTGTGCTGCAGGACAGAGGTACCCAAAGGCACCAGGGCATCGCGCGGGATACCCCCTTCTCCAGCCCGACCCTGATACCTCCCTGCCTGTCCCGTGTGCTGCAGGACAGAGGTACCCAAAGGCACCAGGGCATCGCGCGGGATACCCCCTTCTCCAGCCCGACCCTGATACCTCCCTGCCTGTCCCGTGTGCTGCAGGACAGAGGTACCCAAAGGCACCAGGGCATCGCGCGGGATACCCCCTTCTCCAGCCCGACCCTGATACCTCCCTGCCTGTCCCGTGTGCTGCAGGACAGAGGTACCCAAAGGCACCAGGGCATCGCGCGGGATACCCCCTTCTCCAGCCCGACCCTGATACCTCCCTGCCTGTCCCGTGTGCTGCAGGACAGAGGTACCCAAAGGCACCAGGGCATCGCGCGGGATACCCCCTTCTCCAGCCCGACCCTGATACCTCCCTGCCTGTCCCGTGTGCTGCAGGACAGAGGTACCCAAAGGCACCAGGGCATCGCGCGGGATACCCCCTTCTCCAGCCCGACCCTGATACCTCCCTGCCTGTCCCGTGTGCTGCAGGACAGAGGTACCCAAAGGCACCAGGGCATCGCGCGGGATACCCCCTTCTCCAGCCCGACCCTGATACCTCCCTGCCTGTCCCGTGTGCTGCAGGACAGAGGTACCCAAAGGCACCAGGGCATCGCGCGGGATACCCCCTTCTCCAGCCCGACCCTGATACCTCCCTGCCTGTCCCGTGTGCTGCAGGACAGAGGTACCCAAAGGCACCAGGGCATCGCGCGGGATACCCCCTTCTCCAGCCCGACCCTGATACCTCCCTGCCTGTCCCGTGTGCTGCAGGACAGAGGTACCCAAAGGCACCAGGGCATCGCGCGGGATACCCCCTTCTCCAGCCCGACCCTGATACCTCCCTGCCTGTCCCGTGTGCTGCAGGACAGAGGTACCCAAAGGCACCAGGGCATCGCGCGGGATACCCCCTTCTCCAGCCCGACCCTGATACCTCCCTGCCTGTCCCGTGTGCTGCAGGACAGAGGTACCCAAAGGCACCAGGGCATCGCGCGGGATACCCCCTTCTCCAGCCCGACCCTGATACCTCCCTGCCTGTCCCGTGTGCTGCAGGACAGAGGTACCCAAAGGCACCAGGGCATCGCGCGGGATACCCCCTTCTCCAGCCCGACCCTGATACCTCCCTGCCTGTCCCGTGTGCTGCAGGACAGAGGTACCCAAAGGCACCAGGGCATCGCGCGGGATACCCCCTTCTCCAGCCCGACCCTGATACCTCCCTGCCTGTCCCGTGTGCTGCAGGACAGAGGTACCCAAAGGCACCAGGGCATCGCGCGGGATACCCCCTTCTCCAGCCCGACCCTGATACCTCCCTGCCTGTCCCGTGTGCTGCAGGACAGAGGTACCCAAAGGCACCAGGGCATCGCGCGGGATACCCCCTTCTCCAGCCCGACCCTGATACCTCCCTGCCTGTCCCGTGTGCTGCAGGACAGAGGTACCCAAAGGCACCAGGGCATCGCGCGGGATACCCCCTTCTCCAGCCCGACCCTGATACCTCCCTGCCTGTCCCGTGTGCTGCAGGACAGAGGTACCCAAAGGCACCAGGGCATCGCGCGGGATACCCCCTTCTCCAGCCCGACCCTGATACCTCCCTGCCTGTCCCGTGTGCTGCAGGACAGAGGTACCCAAAGGCACCAGGGCATCGCGCGGGATACCCCCTTCTCCAGCCCGACCCTGATACCTCCCTGCCTGTCCCGTGTGCTGCAGGACAGAGGTACCCAAAGGCACCAGGGCATCGCGCGGGATACCCCCTTCTCCAGCCCGACCCTGATACCTCCCTGCCTGTCCCGTGTGCTGCAGGACAGAGGTACCCAAAGGCACCAGGGCATCGCGCGGGATACCCCCTTCTCCAGCCCGACCCTGACACCTCCCTGCCTGTCCCATGTGCTGCAGGGCAGCAGCCCAACTGAAGGGCTGAACCTTTCCAGACCAGATCTACCCTGTTTCGCGCCAGGCTGCAGGAGCCGCAGAAAGCCAA